CGATATGTTATACAGAGATGCCTGATACACAAATGGATATAGCTAGTCAGAAAGGTAAAGATGTTGAGGGGGAGGCATTAGTAGACCGCCGCCGGTTTATGTAGATTCGTCAAAGGTTAGAGTTGAGTCACCTTCCTGAGTATTCCCTACTCCACTAGCACCGGAGGAGCTTCATAGAGTACCACTACCGCTATCAGTCCCTACTGATCAGGATCTTTGGAGTGTTGTGCATCTTTTGACCCAGTTAGTAGCTACACAACGACAGACTAGAGTTCCAACTAGTGCAGGACCATCTAAGGGGCTCGAAAGTTTGAGGATCCGTGAGTTTATTGCTTTGATCCCTCTAGAGTTCACGAGGATAGATCAGTATGAGGATCCCCAAGATTTTATTGACCAGCTTTATAGGATCTTTCGAGTTATGCATGCTTCCGAGATGGAGGCAGTGGAGTTAACAGCTTTCAGGCTGCGAGAAATAGTTGTGTATTGGTATGATTCATGGGAATTATCCAGAGGGCAGAATGCGTAACCAGCAAAGTGGGAAGAATTCTCCAGAGCCTTTCTGGACCATTACTTACCATTAGATATCTGGGAAGCCAAGGTTGATCAGGTTTTAGCCCTACAGCAGGGTGATATGAGTGTTCTCTAGTACAGCCTCAGGTTTGATTCGTTGGCAAGGTATGCCCCATCTTTGGTTGATACGATGCGAGCCATGATACATTGGTTTGTGGTAGGGCTGGCACCAGATTTAGTTGAAGCTTGTACCACAGCCTCGCTGAATGACAATATGGACATATCTCGGATTCAGGCTTTTTCCCATAATCTAGAGGAGCATAAACAACGATAGCAGCTAGAACAAGCTCGAGAAAGGTAGCAAGGTAAGAGAGACAGGCCAGTTGATGAGCATGTAGGGGAAGCGAGTAGTAATAGGTCTCTGGACATACGAGATCAGGCAGGGGCAATTTATCTAGGCCTGAGGAGACCCAATATTCTCAAAGTCCTCAGTTGAGAACAAGTCATGGATCAAGGGCACAAGGAGTTCAATATGAAGAGAGTATTGGACAAATAAAACCACTTCGATGTGAGTAATAGAAGGAGACACGAGGGATTGTGCTTACGAGGTACGAATGCATGTTTTAGATGTGGCACCCCCAGGTCATATGGCACAGAACTGTCCGATGTTGAGTTATGAGGGTAGCAGTCGTTCAGGGCAGCCTAGGGGCTTAGTACCATCATTTCAGCTAGGCAGAGGCAGAAGGAGAGCGTCAGGCTTAAAAGAGACCCAGAATCAGATGTATGCATTGGGATATCAGTGGGATTTCGTGCCCCCATCTTAGAGGCAATTAGGTATGTTACCTATTTTAGAATGGGAGTATGTGTAATTATGCTACTAGGTCTATATATATCTTGAGTATTGTTAGATGATGTAGTAACTTGATTGTTAATAGAGCTAGCATGTCATACCTAAGGTAAATTGTTGCAAAGTAGAATTAAAAGACAGAAAGGCTAGATAAGGTAATGAACACGAGCACGACTTGGACATCTTTGAACTCCCGAAGTGGGATATAAGTCATAGTAAGAACTAGGCTATGTAAATACAGTAAGATTACTAAATAATGACCATTGTAGGTTTAATAATAAGGATGATAACCTTTCTTAAGGAGGTGCGAGATAGAAAACTGAATAAGTAAGGCAATAAGGATCCAGAGTTAGCGGGAAAAGAGGGAGATGGATTTATAGATATTGAACGGTATTAGAACGTATTGAATAGGATTGAATCAGAGGAGCGTGAGTATCGGGTAGAAGCAATATCCATAAGTTGGTAATGTCCCTATATGAAGGCTCTAGTATAAGGAAAACAACAATCACGAGGAAGATAATAATATTGTGGTATAATATGCCGACCTTTTTCCATTGTTAGATATTATTTACAACCCTGCCAGCATAAACGGTGAATGTTGAAATGAACTTGTAATTATATCTTGCTCTATTCATGAGAAATGGCCGTGTGAGGACAAGTGTTTCCATTTACAGATATTGGCCATGTGTGGCATGTATAGGGTATTTTCTGGTTGCGTGCAAGTTGGTTTTAGTAAAGTGGTTCAAAGAAGACCTTGGCGAAATTTTCGCAAGTCTCTAAGAGTCAACATTTGAGGATGAATGTTCCTAAGAGGGGAGGATGTAACACCCCATACTTGTATGCTACAATGCATCTCAAGTGAATCAAAGTAAACTGGAGAGCTTAAGGACCTTTACAAAGAAAATGATAGATTAAAACAAGTATTAAGGAAGTATCGTGAGGGTTGGAGGTTAAACAAATCAAAGATGTTATAACTCATACTTTCAGGGTAAACTATGAGTACTTAATATAATAAGGAGGTCAGTTTTAAGGTAACTGAATCTTATAATATTTGTATGTTTGGCTTTTAAGTCAAATAAGTTGTAAAACAAAACACGACAAAAGTTGTCGCAAGTTACATTTATAATTTGACCTAAATTTGGGTCTAATGTCACTGAGCTTTTATCTAAATATACTTTGAGTTACGGGGTGATACACCCATAAAATTGAATATCTATGAGTCTACTTTCCAATACATTAAACTTTCCGTGCATACGACGTCGAAATAGAGAGATATTCGCATTTTTACGAGACTGCACAAGCAACTTCCTTGGGACCCACAAAGTCGGTGGAAACTTACCTTGTTATATAAAGTGAAAACTTTCATATCTAAATATCATTTTCGGCCAAATGAGACCTCCAAGAAGCTCTAAACTCTCTCAAAGCATACCCTAAAGATACATACACAAATTCAAGGCCAAACCACCTAAGTTCTTCATCAAAAGTGTTGTAGAAGTGGTGGAGATCAATCCACCACTTATATGATGTTGTTGATGTGTTGTGAGTTCTTTCAAGTTTAAGGAGAGTTGTTCATGGAGTTTTTCTTGTTGTTTAAATGTAAGCTCTTCTTCTCCTACACGATGTTGATCATATCTAAGCCCTAGCTCTGTTGTATGAAGCTAGAAGTTAATAAGTTGACAATCAAAAGACGTATAGAAGTTGTGATACCATGTTGGACTGTTTTGAGGTGTTTTTATGATATTGTTATGGCTGGAGTTTTGGGAGATTTTATATATATATATATATATATATATATATATATATATATATATATATGTGTGTGTGTGTGTGTGTGTGTGTGTGTGTG